CCAAAAGAGATGTTTTTACGTATATGACTCGCTACGTAGTCGAAAGCACAAAAAAGCTATTCAAAAGGTGGCAGAGGCTTATGCTGTGTTGATCCCCCTATTTCTAGTTAGTATTGAATTTTATAACCAAAGAAGTGACATTGTAGTAGAAAATGGTCTGCACATGGGAAAGAATTTGACTGATCCTTTTGAGATTGAACTGATTACAAATCTGCCAACACAGCAAAATTCGTAAGAATAGTTACTTTATTTATTACTTTTTTTTCCTTATTCATATTAACATTTTCACTCCTAATTGATTTTTATATTCTATTCATTTATTTTATGTGACGACCCGAACCGTCGTCTCATGAGTTACCGCTCCGATTTTCCTATTTTCAGCTTCCTTATGCTTCATTATCCATATCTTGTGTAATCGAGTCGATTTGAAGTGGTTTTAATAAGAAATGAGATACTTAGTCTCTTTTAAGAAGCCTTAAGTTGGAAAAGTCAATCGGACGTTGACTATGAGTTAGAGGGCTCGGATGTGAATTCCGATGGTTCGGTTAGCTCCGGGAGATGATTTGTGACTTAGGAGTGTGATCGGAAGTGGTTTTGGAGGTCCGATGTAGAATTAGGCTTGAATTGGCGAAGTTAGTATTTTGGCGAATTCCGGTTGATAGGCGAGATTTTGATATAGGGGTCGGAATGGAATTCCGAGAGTTGCAGTAGCTCCGTTATGTCATTTGGGATGTGCGTGCAAAGTTTCAGATCATTCGGACGAGGTTTGGTAGACTTTTTGATCGAAAATGTATTTTTAGAGTTTTTGAAAATTTTAAGGTTGAATACGACGAAAAATTTGTGTTTTGATGTTGTTTTGAACATTCCGAAGATTGGAACAAGTTTGAATGATGTTTTAGGATTGGTTGGCATGTTTGGGTGAGGTCCCGGGGGCCTCGGGTGAGTTTCGAGGTGGTTTCAGACCATTTTTAGGCCATTTTAACTGCTGGTTTTTGGCTACAGCAGTGTTCTATGCGATCGTGGGGAATAGGTCGCGATCGCGGTGAGTAAAATGTGAGAAACGTGCCAATGAATCACGATCGCGGAAAGCCTTTCGCGATCGCGGAGAAGAAATATTCTGTTGCGTTGATCCCACTTCGGAAGCTTATATCTCACAATCTATAAGGAATTTGGAGATGATCCAAAAATGAAAACTGTAGCCCTTTGTGTCTAGTTTTCAGAAATGTAAATTAATTGAATTTGAAGTTGTGTACAAAAAGTTATAGTGGTTACACTATAGGCTGTCCGGGAAGGTCTCTAATACAGAGGGATGACTTTGAAAGATTATATCTCGCAATATATAAGGAGTCAGGAAATGAGCAACATATGGAATTATAGCCCTATGTGTCTAGTTTTTAGAACATCAAACCATTTGTAATTTGGAGTTGTGTGCAAAAGTTATGACCGTTATACTAGAGGCTGTCCGGAAGAGCTGGGAATTGTTCATCGCGATCGCGAAGCGTCGACCGCGATCGCGAAGAGTAAATTTTGGGCTGGAAGCAATTGTTCTCCGCGATCGCGAAGCATTTTCCGCGATCGCGAAGAGTAAATATCTGGGCAGAATGTTTTAAAACACATCAGCCGCGATTTTGGGGCTCATTTACTCCATTGTTGATATTTTTGAGAGCTTTTTGAAGGAAATTGAAGAGGGATTCAAGGAGAATCGATTGGAGGTAAGATTTTTGAACTTAAAACACGATTATATTGTGAAATTGGTGTAGAAATTCATGGTAATTAAGCCTAAAATTGATGAACTAGGGCTTGAGTTTTTGATATTTCAAATTGGGATTTGATGGGTCATTTGAGCTCGGATTTGAGAGTTCTTAGTATGTATGAACTCGTGAGAAGATGAGGAATCCATTAATGTTAAATTTTCTGATTTTTCGAGAAGTGGGCCCGGGGCTCGGGTTTTGCTAGTTTCGAGATTTTTGCTATTTTTCGATTGGGTATTGTTCCCTTATCATATGGTGATGTATTCGCTCTGATTTTGGTTAGATTCGACGTGTGTGGAGGCCGAGTTGAGGGGCAAAGGCGTCGCGAGCTAGAGATTTCACCGGTTCGAGGTGAGTAATGATTGTAAATGATAGTCTGAGGGTTTGAAACCCCGGATGTGCACATCATAGTGCTGTATTGAGGTGACTTGCACGCCGGATAGCGAGCGTGGGGTAGAGCACCGTTGGGGATTGTGACTTGGTCCGTCCCGATTGATGAAATTACTACGTATTTGACTGAAACTACTTGTTATCATCATAATTTGGGCTGATTTCCATGCTTGGGCTTCGTGCCAACTATATGAATCCTTCAGGGATTGATATCACTGTTTTCACATTACTTTGCATATTATTTGATCTCGGTCCAGGGTTTTAATACTGTGTTGCAAACTCAGCCATTTTTCTAAGATTTGAAAACTTAAACAATATTTTTATTGACGTTTTGAGCTGAGAACCATTATTTTAATATTGCCCAAGTGGCTTATGTACATTTCTGGACTGAGCATGGATCGGGCTGCGCGCCGCAGCAGTGTTATAGTAATTTTTGGTTATATGGATGGCTCGGGCTGCGCGCCGCAGCGGTATTGTATTGATATTGAGGCCGAGGGCCTGGTTGGTGCCACGAGATGGCTTGATTATTTGCGCTTGGGCTGTAGGAGCCCCTCCGGAGTCTGTACACACCCCCAGTGAGCGTCGTCGACATTAAATATATGGATGGCTCGGGCTGCATGCTGCAGTGGGTACCGGAGTGTACCGTCATATGCATTGCATTGCACTCATGCATTTGTTCCTATTTGTATTATTTGTCATGACATTCCAGCACTCGCATTTCATTGGCTTCCATGCTATTTCTTGCACTGTTTACCTGGTACCCTGGTGTTCTTGTTTAATGGAGTGTTGTGCCCGAGGGGCTGACTTATGTGCTGTCTTGCACTATCTGTTTTGCATTCATTTGCTTAACTGTTGGAAAAAGACATTTTCGAAAGAGGTTTTTAAACTGAACCCAGATATTTCTAAAGAGTATACGGTTTCACTGTTTTCTCAAAGGGTTACACTGTTCTATATAGCATTATGGCTTGCTTTACGTGGTTTCTTGCTGTTCAGTTATTATTTACCTTTATTACTCACTGAGTTGGAGTACTCACTTTAATCCTTGCACCTCGCGTGCAGATGCAGGTATTGGTTTACCCGGTAGCGGGTTTGAGCTGGTTGAAGATTTGCTATCGTAGCTGAGCAAGGTGACCGCCAGCGTTCACGGCACTGGATTTCTTCCTTTTGATTCCAGATTGTATTCTATGTATTACAGGCTTTGTAGTTGTATCAAAGATCCTTCTAGATGCTCGTGACTTGTGACACTCCGATTTCGGGCTGAGTCGGGATGGGTTCTCTGTTTTTATCACGTTTATTCTGCAATATGATTTCATTATCTATGATTCAGACTTATTCATGCTAAGTAACTGTTAAAAGAGGCGTTGTTGTTCTGTTGGCTGGCCTTATCTTCACGAGAGGCGCCATCACGATCGGGTTTTGGGGAATTGGGTCGTGATATTTTATTTCAGAGATTGTGGAGTATATGTTGCTTGCTTTGCTGAGTATATTATTGAAGATCTTCCAATCCTTGTTGCCAATTTTTATGTGGATGGTCTTCGAGCTAGGTTTGGTATACTGTTGTGGCACTATGGGAGGAACAAGCAGTTGCATGGCGAATCAAGTGAATCTGAGGCTCCAGTAGCACCTAAAAAGACTCGTGGAAAGAAACGCAAGAAGTAGTATAGGTCTCTTTTTGGTTTTAGTTAATCGTATCATGAAAACTTTGCAGGATTTTAATAGTTTTTGGTGAAGTATGGTATTGTTAGTAGTAAACGACCTTCTGCTGATTCAAGACTGTAGGAAACTTGTGCCTTTATAAAATATTTCCAGCGGCTAATGTTTCTTTTGTCATATTTAATTATTCTGGTTCAGAGTATGTGGTATAGATTTCTTCAAGTAAATAAGGGTTATCAGTCTAGTTATGTCTCTTGATGCTGAAAATTTGCTGATTTTGTTTCTGATTTCAGCTTGTTTTATTAGGCTTTTCTTAGGCTTCTTCCATAAAGTTGTTGGTTTATAGGATGCCGAGGTCCATTCCTTTGCCAGAGGGTAAGGTTTAATGGATTCTGCAAGTGAAAATTAGGGGCAGATGAAGCGAAGTTAAATGATCTGCTTTCGAATGTGATGATGGTCTAAGCTTTAATGTACATCTGTAGTTTTAGCATAAATGGTGTATTAGTGCAGTAGAACTATATGCCAATCAGGTATACTGATATACCATTTGGGTATCACATTGTATTTGACTCACCTTTTTTCCTGCAGCAACTAGATGTAAGTAGTGACATGAGTTGTAAAGCGTGCGCATTTTGGGTATCACGTTGTATCTGGTGCATCATTTGTATTTCTGCGCATATTTTGTTTTAGCCATATTAGTTCAATACCACTATATACCAGCGAGGTATACAAATATAACATTTGGGTATCACCTTGTATTAATGTACTTGATGATGTACAATAACTGCATGTAAATGGCTTCCAATTTGTTATACTTCAATACAGACATGAGTTGCAAAGCGTGCCCATTTGTTAACAAAGTATGTACAAATGTTGCATTTGCAGCACCACTTCTATTTCTGCACATATTTTGATACTAATAAGATATACAGATATACCACTTGGGTATCACATATATATTTTAGCATCTTTTTTCCTGCAGCAACTAGATGTAAATGCATCCCACTTGTATATACTAAAATAGAAAATAAACAGATTCTTATTGAAAATACAAGTAGCCATATAAATTTGTTGCCAAGAAGTAATTTCGCAAAGAATCATCATACCAAATATATGTCTAATGCAAGAAATGCATTTTATTTCTTTGCAATTCAAATGCTATGATTCTACGATATATGAGTTCTATAAAAACATTGAATCGTTATATCAATCTCTCTTTGGAATATTTCGGCATGTTCTCCGGTTGTGTCCTTTTCTCCCGCATAGTGCACATGTAACTGTATTTCCTTCCCAGCCTCCTGTGCCTCTCTTCTTTTTAGGTCTTCCTGGTTTGATTTGTCCTTTTGGTGGCAGTACCACCTGCGAAGAGACATGTTTTGGAATTTGCCACGTTGTTTCATCAGGCAATGGATTTACTGGTATCTCATATGTTTTCAGCAAGTAGTCTATGCTGTAGTAATCCGAGCAATACTTGTATGAATCCATATGGAATTTTTGTATAACTGCGATTGCATGTGGACATGGAATATCGTCTAGCTGAAACCTCCCACAAGTGCAGTTTCTTTCATGTAGGCGCACTACATTTCTTGTTTGGCCATCAATTACTAAATGTAAGAATTCAGTTGATGGCAACACCTAGTATAATTTTAATTAAGAAAAGTCATTAGCTATATGAAGTAATAGTATTTTTTAAATAACAATATTCAGTCGTTTAGTGAAATCACTAAGGTAAAAAAGTAAAAATACAGTACATGCAGTGTTTTTATGATTTTGAAAATGCATACCGTCATCATCTGTGATAAGATAGTATTATCTGCCAATATTTTTTCATACTTTGCACCAATCTTCATAAATGATTCCACTGCATCCTTCCGATTTGTGTAATTCCATTTTTGAATCAATGTTGTCATAAAGTCAAGCAAATTCACAACTGGGAGGTCTCTTGCATACTTGTTTGCTGCATTTATTGATTCCGCAATATTCGATGTCATGGTCATGGTTCTATTTGCCTTGGAATGCGCCCGGGACTATTTATCATATCCAATATCCATCAGGTATGTTTTCACTCTACTATCAATAGCTTCTAACTCTGCCACATGCCTGTTGAATTCTTCAACAGTATATGCTCTTGCTAACGCAAAATATACTTCTTTGATTTGTTTTTGGCTCTTCCTGAAGTTTGTCTTTATGTTGTTCCACAGATGGAACATACATGCACAATGAGGGACTTTTGGATAGACAATTGAAGTTTCTTTCCATATAGCATCATGCCTGTCTGATACAATGCACATTCCCTCTCTTTGTCCATAGGTTTCTCTGAACTGCACGAAGAATCATTCCCACGATGCATCATTTTCCGAATCAACAATTACATATGCGAGGGGTAGAATTTGTCCTGTAAATCCAAAGAACAAAATATCAATTACAAAACACTATATTAATTTAGCATTTCATGTAGTAGTATAGTCATAGGTAGGTGCAGGTGTGTAGCAAAACAACTATATACTCTATTGGTATACTTGTATACCATACTGGTATCATATAATATTTGAAAATATTTTTTGTTTCTTTAACTGAATGTAATTGGATTGTACACAAAATATTAATTTAGTATTTCATATAGTAGTATAGTCATAGGTAGGTGCAGGTGTGTGGCATACTCTGTTGGTATACTTGTATATCATACTGGTATCATATAATACTTGAAAATATTTTTTGTTTCTTTAACTGAATGTAATTGGATTGTATTCTTACCATCTGCGTCTTGCGTGGAAGCCGTGAGTATGGTCCCTCTATGTGTTGACTTTAAAAAACTTCCATCAACTACAACTGTTGGCCTATAATAGACCCATCCTCTAATCGATGCATATATAGCTATGAATGCATACAAGAAGCTCCCATCTCCTTCAGTGTGTAGTCGTGTCACTGATCCTGGGTTAGCGTACTCTAACATATAAAGATATTTTGGCATTTTCTTGTATGACTCACTTGGTGATCGTCTCAATAATTGCATTGCTTTTTCTTTTGATCTCCATGCTTGCATGTAGCTTAAGTCCATACCATATGCTTTTTGGATGTCTCTTTGGATATCTGTTGGTGTATATATGGTTTTTGGGTCAACAAGTTTATCTTGTACCACAGCTGCAACAAAAGCTGAGACAGCTTGCTTTTGTGAACAAATCTTTTATCAGTTAAACAACTGTGGACAGAATTAAAATCTGTCACTTTGAAAAGATTTGATGCTCGCAGGCTTGATGCTTTAAGTCTCCAAGGGCATCTTTCATCCACGCATTCAAGGATATACCTGTTTATAATACAAATACAGTTATGTATCATGTTCTATTGATAAAAAATACACACAAAAATCCGTACAATTATATACTCACATGGTATACTCTGTTGGTATACTTATATACTGTATCAGTATCATATTTTGCTGATAAAAAATATAGACAAAGCAGCACAATTCTATACTCACATAGTATACTGATTTAGCATACATATATACTATATTGGTATTATGTTTTACTGATAATAACAAAGACAAACCAGTACAGTTATATACTTGCATAGTATACTGATATAGCATACTTATATACAATACCAGTATCACTGATAAAAAATACAAACAAACCAATACAATTCCATACTCGCATAGTATACTGATTTAGCATACTTATATACTATATAGGTATCACATAGTTTTTACTTGAAAACATGCAGACGAACCTTCTTGGGCATGATTTATGAACCCGATATTGACATTTTTCTCTAACTGCATACTGTTTCATAACGAGAGCCAGCAGGTTCTTGTCTTCGTAAATTTGTCCTTTTTCAACATTTTGATGAAATTGATCAGTTATGATGTTTGCATCATCAAGTTCTAAAATGGCGTCATCTCCTTCTTGCACATCAAACGTAGTAATCATATCAGTGCTTTCAAATTCTGCAATTTCTGATGAAATTGGAGCAACATCGAAATTGGAGGTGCTTGCAGCTATAGTGTTTTTAGCAAACGACACACACAGGGGAAGTGTTGTCATCCCTGCACTTGATTTTTTCAATTCCATGTAAACACTAACACTCATATCGCTGTAAATTGTAATTGGTGGATATCCTTGAGCAATAGCATACTGAATAACTATTGTTCTACTGTCCTTTTGCAGTTGCTTTGCAATTTCTCTGAGAAGTTGTTCAAATTTCCAATAGGTCTTTATTAGAATTGCATCAACATGAAAATTTATGAAATTATTGTTATCATCCCATTCTCCACTATGCTGCAGCAGAATTGAAATATTTTCCATGATTCTGAAGTTATAATCACTTTTATGTCCAAAATTGAATCTCAATAATGCAAATTTCAACAGTGTTCGAAATCAATAGTGTTCGAAATCAACAGTGTTCGAAATTTCAACAGTATATAGCTGCAACAGATTTTTCGAAATCAAACTTCTAGATCTCCAGATCTCCAAACCTAGATTAGAATTTTCAGCTGAAATTCAGAAGTTTAGCTCCGAAATCAAAATCAAAACAACAACGAAATCAAAATCTGAAGACAACAGCAAAATCAAAATCTGAAAAGAAGATGCGAATCAGCATCTTCGATCTTTTTTTTCACACTTAGTGATCTTCAAATTAGGGAATGTCAGTGGAAATCTCAATTTTGTGCGTTGATTTTCTGAAATTTTGAGCAACTTTTGCGTTTTTATACGTAGGGCATTAAGCGTGGGTAGTTATTTTAATATTCCCGTTTATTTATTAAATGGGTAGGAGATTGTAATTATTTAGTGGGTAGAATTCTTTAATGGGTAGGGCAAGGTAAATAGTTTCACTTTTATAGGTACTCCTGTCTTTTCCCCAATTAAAAAGTAGGGAGCCCAATTGTTCTTATGTGAAATTTTCCTTTTATTTTATGAGTTTGACGCTTTTTATTTTACTTTTGCCCCTTTTTTGGTAGCCGGTTGCTAGTTCCTCGGCAAATAATTGTTTATTTAGCATTCAATTAAGTACAAACATAATTTTTGGCATCTTTAATTTGTCTTCCAAAAGGTGATTTTAGAGACGTCATGGTCTCATCAATTACTCCAGATAATTCAAAGATAAATCTATTGGCTAATTTAGCAAGGCAAAACATCCAAATAAAAACATGTGATAGTGAACATCAATTTCCGAGAACCAATTTAGGTTTATGTCGGGGTGTTCGAGTACAGAAGTCATCCACCTTGTTAGGAGATTGATGGAGCAGTATAGGGAGAGAAAGAAGGATTTGCATATGGTGTTCATCGACTTAGAAAAAGCGTACATAAAGTTCCGAGGGAGGTTTTGTGGAGATGTTTGGAGGATAGAGGTGTTCATGTTGCCTACGTTAGGTTGATTAAGGACATGTATGATGGAGTAAAGACTCGAGTGAGGACGGTGGGGAAGGGGGGGACTCGGACCATTTTCCAGTTATGATGGGGTTGCATCAGGGGTCAGCACTCAGCCCATTTTTGTTTGCTCTGGTGATGGACGTATTGACGAGCCACATCCAAGGGGAGGTGCCGTGGTGCATGCTATTTGCAGATGATATTGTATTGATTGACGAGACGCAAGACGGTGTGAATGCGCAATTAGAGGTATGGAGGCAGACCCTGGAATCTAAGGGTTTCAAGTTGAGCAGGACCAAAAGAGAATACTTTAAGTAAGTTCAGCGGCGAGACTCTAGGAGGGGAAGAGGAGGTAAGACTGGGCTCGCAGGTCATCCCTAAGAGATGGAGTTTTAAGTACCTCGGGTCTATTATTCAGGTGGATGGGGAGATTGATGAAGATGTCGCACATCGTATTGGGGCGAGATGGATGAAATGGAGACTCGCTTCCGGTGTGTTGTGTGACAAGAAGGTACCATCGAAACTTAAGGGTAAGTTCTACAAAGTGGTAGTCAGACCAACGATGTTGTATAGGGCTGAGTTTTGGCCAGCCAAGATTGCTCATGTCCAAAAGATGAAGGTAGCAGAGATGAGAATGTTGAGATGAATGTACAGGCACACCAGGTTAGATAAGATTAGTAATGAGGTTATTCGCGGGAAGGTAGGGGTAGCCTCTATTGAGGACAAGATGCGGGAAGCGCGCTTTGGTGGTTTGGTCATGTGAAGAGGAGGAGCACAAACGCTCCGGTGAGGTGTCAGAGGTTGACATTGGAGGGCCTACGGAGAGGTAGAGGTAGGCCAAAGAAGAGGTGATTAGGCAAGACATGGCGCAGCTTCAGCTGACCGAGGACATGACCCTTGATAGGAAGGTATGGATGTTGAGAATTAGGGTAGTAGAATAGGTAGTGTAGAGTGTTCATAACTTTACTATTGACACACAGTCTCGTTTTCTGTTGGTAGTAGGTTTTTATGACTAAGCGTTATTTTCTTTCATTGCTGATCACTTTATTGTCTTTGTTGTGTTATTCTACTTTTATATGGCTTTTTGATATTGCCCCTTCTTACCTATATTATTAATGTTGTGGTACTTATACTATCTTGAGCCGAGGGTCTATTGAAACAGCCTCTCTAACCTCACAAGGTAGGGGTAAGGTCTGCGTATACACTACCCTCCCTAAACACCACGGTGTAGGATAATACTGGGTATGTTGTTGTTGTATATATACTATCTTGAGCCAAGGGTCTATTGGAAACAGCCTGTCTATCCTCACAAGGTAGGGGTAAGGTCTGCGTAGGGTCTGGGGAGGGTAATGTGTACGCACACCTTACCCCTACCTTGTGAGGATAGAGAGGTTGTTTCCAATAGACTCTCGGCTCAAGATAGTATAAGTACCACATTAACAAAAATATAGGCAAGAAGGATAATATCAAAAAGCCATATATATATATATATATATATATATATATATATATATATATATATATATAT